AACTCCTGACAGCCCCAGCCGGACACCTGAGCGGAGCCCGGGTGGAACTGCCTGTTGCTGCTGTGGGCGTCTGGCTGCCCAAGTAAAGAACTGCACCAGCTCAGGGCAACTGTGAGGAGCAAGAGGGGAGAGGCAGAGAAGGAGGCAGAGAAGGAGGAGAGCAGCTGGCCAGTTGGGGGAGGCTTCTTGTGCTGCGAAAGAGGCAGCTAATGATCTCCGGCTCCGCTCTGCTTCTCCAACATCCGGCGCCGCCCTGTTCTATGTGTCAGGCCCAGCAAGTCCGAGCAGCCGGCGCATAGAACAGGGTGGTGCCGGACCATTGGAGAAGCGGAGCAAAGCCGGAGATTAGTAGCTGCCTCTTTCGGCGCAGAAAGCTTCCCCCAACAAGCCGGCTGGTCTCCTCCTTCTCTGCCTGTTTGTTCTGTATGGCCAAGGAGGAGGAGACCAGCCGAGAAGTGTTGTGTGTGCGATTTTTTGGCGTGCGGCGCGGGGTCTCTTTTGGCCGGCCCCGATTTTTTTTTCAGAGGGGAATTTTTTTTTCCAGAGGCGGGCCGTATTAAAATGACCAGCGGGCCGGATGTGGCCCGCGGGCCGTAGTTTGCCCACCTCTGATCTAAGTGCTAGACCCCATTGTAATTACATAGGCAAAATGGCATTAAGAGTTGTTAACCTAATCCTACATAGACAAACAACCTACTTTCTAATAAACAATTTGGGTTTCAGAAAAAAACTATCCTGTAATCTGCAACTCTTACACTGCAGAAACATATGGACTACACAGCTCGATCAGGGAAAAGCAATAGATGCAATCTACATAGACTTGTAAAGCTGTGATGACCCGTAGTCTCTCAAAATAACCCAAAACCCAAAACATACATTAAAGTCCGGTAATGCCTTCAATGTAAACTTCACTGTTTTATTAGGCACAGTTTAAAGTCACAAAAGTAAATAATGAGGCAAACAAGAAGCCAAAACAAATCACATTGACGGGAGTTCTGAAGCAAGCCAAGATAATTAATCATACATTCCAGGAAGATACGGGGAGAGTCCACGGGAAGAAAGCCAACAAAGATAAACCTCTTTCAAAGGAAACAATAAACTAAACTATGACTCCAGCAGTTCTAACTGCGTAGTTACAAACTTATATACATAGCTCCCAGTTGCAAGCCATGAGGAGGATCATGGTAATCTCCTCCTGAGAAGACCTCACTTTTCCCTGATCCTCTCCTCCCTGCGTGACCTAGGATGGATAGGGGATGGGCCTGGATCCTCCTCTAACTGCTCAGCCGGCCTCTGCCCTTCCCCAGCCTCCTCCACCACCTCTGGAGCCACACTCCCACTCCCTGTTGGCTGTTCCTCCTCTTCCTCAGAGTCAGTCTCCACCAGGAGCATGACAAAAGCCTTTGATTCAGTGGTACACAACAAACTACTCCTAAAACTACAATCTTATGGTATCTCTGGACACCTGCATAACTGGATAGAAGCATTCCTGTCAAACAGACAACAAATGGTCAAAATTGGGATCGTCCTTTCAAACTCTGTACCTGCCAAGTGGTGTCCCCCAGGGCAGTGTTCTAGGACCAACTCTCTTCATACTCTACATAAATGATCTCTGTGATCATATTAAGAGCAACTGCACTCTCTTTGCTAATGATGTAAAGCTATTCAACCCCACCAACAATACTGCTACCCTTCAAAAAGACCTCCACTATGTATCAGAATAGTCAAACAAATGGCAACTTCAAATCTCAACAAATAAATGCTATGTCTTACATATTGGCAAAAAAAATCAGAAAATAGAATACAAGCTGAATAGTCAAGACTTTGTTGACAATCCAAACTCTGTCAAGGATCTTGGAGTTCTCATCTCTAATGATCTAAGTGCTAGAGCCCACTGTAACTACATAGCCAAAAAGGCATTAAGAGTTGTTAACCTAATCCTACGTAGCTTCTTCTCTGGTAATATCACACTACTAACTAGAGTATACAAAACATTTGCTAGACCAATACTCGAATACAGCTCATCAGTCTGGAACCCACATTACATATCTGATATTAACACAGTTGAGAAAGTCCAGAAATATTTCACAAGAAGAGTTCTCCACTCTTCTACTCGTTGTAGAATACCTTATGCCACCAGACTTGAAATTCTACACCTAGAAAACCTTGAATTATGCCGTCTTCGGTCTGATCTAAATATGGTATATAAAATCATACATTGCAATGACTTATCTGTCAATTAATACTTCAGTTTCAACCATAACAGCACAATAGCACACAATAGATACAAACTCAAGGTAAACTGCACCAAACTTGATTGCAGGAAATACGACTTCAGCAACAGAGTGGTCAATGTCTGGAATACTCTACCTGACTCTGTGGTTTCTTCCCCAAACCCCCAAAACTTTAACCTTAGACTGTCTACTATTGACCTCACCCCTTTCCTAATAGGTCTGTAGGGGGCGTGCATAAGCACACCAACGTGCCTACATCCCTGTCCTATTGTTTCTTTTATTTTTCTTATATGTACTCATTTCATGTATTCGTAACTATGTATACACTTATACCTATTATCTTGCAAGCGATTGACAAACCAAAATAAATAAAAAATAAAAAATAAAATAAACATCTCATGAAAATGGAAAAAAAATCATCTTAGTGTGATTGAACATTTAGTAATGGACATTTATTTTCCTTCCTATTTAGTCCACATTACCAGGACAATCATTCTAAATCATCATATTTGATTTAGGTAAATATAGTATCAGAAGCACAACATATGTCTGTATTCTCCTCTTAATTAATGTTATCAATTTTGAATTTCAAAAATTTTTCATCATCCATTTTTACTTGGAATCCAGCTCATGGCAACCCCAAAGATTTAACCCAAATTGATTAGGAGAAGATTTGTTTTCTTTAAACCCCATAACATTAATTAAGCAGTTTAAAGAGGGAGCAAAACATTTCTAATGATTTACTAAAGAGGATCAAAGGGAAATGAATAATTTCCATGAAGTTGGCCTCTAGTTGATAAAAGCTCCCCTTATATTAAAGAAGGAAAATAACATGTTCCCACTTCTCTTCAGTCCTGAATCATTGCTTCATAAAAGTAAAGTATGTTTCAAGTTGAACTCTGTTCCTGTGGATTTAACTGACACTGTTTTGTTGGCAATCAAAGACAATCTCTCTGCCTCTTCCTTCCCCTCCCCTCTCCTACCCTCCCTCCCTCTCTCTCTCTCTCTCATTTGCTCGCTCGCTTGCTCACTCTCGCTCTTGCTCTTGATCTCTTTCTTTTCATGATGTTTCTTTGACATCCTAGTCCAGCTATGACACCATTTCTATTAGATTACCAGGAAACTACATCTCATGTACAGCAGCAAAAAAAATTCCAAAAGCAAGTTGTGTGGAAATTGCTCATACAATTCCCAGTGAATGATCCCTATCTCAATATAAACAAATCTTATTATTTCAAAACTGAGATATTGTTGTATTCATGCATAATAGTAGGCTCTGTCAAATAGATCTTAGACATTTATGATCCGTAAAGGGTCATAAGACAATCTAAGGAGTGCATAAATAACAAGCTACTTAGTTTATAATATAAAGGAACTCTTCAAAATATATTGAGAATTTTGAAAGGACTGGTATGAGTTAGGAGTTTATAAGTTTCTATGTTATTGATAATTTTGAAGAGGATCCTGACTGCATGCTTTCCTAACGGACAAAGGACTTCTTACAAAGCTACTTAAAAACATACAGCATATTCATTCTGTGAAGGTTATAGATAAAGAAATCTAGTATGTCAAATCACCCCTTACTGTGCTTCCATCTGATGTTTTTATTTTTTTGCTAAAACTCATCTGTAGCCCTCCTACTGGTATTAGGCAGAAATTCCAGATAGCTATATGAATACCATTTAGACTTCTATACTGCTTCATAGTGTCTTTCAGCCCTCTCTAAAAGGGTTTACAGAGTCAGCATATTGCCCCCAATAATTTTGGATCCTCATTTTACCCACCATGGAAGGATGGAAGGCTGAGTCAACCTTGTGCCTATGGTATTTGAACTGCCAAATTGCAGGCAGCCAATATTCAGCCGAAGTAGACTACAGTACTATACTCTAACCACTGCACCATCCAGATTCTATTAATGCATTGATTTCTGTCTGGAAGATAAATTGTGTGGGAATCATTCCAACATTCAGGTTTCATAATTGCAATCCTGAGATAGGAGTTGATTCATTATCTAGGAAATACAGCACATTTTGATAATCCATTGATAATGTTTTGGTCCTGTTCTGAACTAATCAAAAGGTAGAATCCAGACAGTTGGATTGGAAATCAAGCATTCTCAGCTGATATTGAGTTATAGTGGATGTACAGATTGTTCTTCCTTTTCTCTATCTGTGTTTTGTATTTAAACTCATTGTCCAACAATTGCTCTGTAGGCAGAATTCCAGATTCTATTAATGCATTGATTTATGTCTAGAGGATAAATTGTATGTGATCATTCCAACATTAATGTTTCATAATGGCAATCCTTGATTCATTATCTGGGAAATAAGCATATTATGATAATCCATTGATAATGTCTTTGGTACTATCTGAACTAATCAAAAGCTAGAATCCAGATAGATGCATTGGAAATCAAGATTTCTCAGTGATATTGTGTTATAGTGGATGTACATATTCCTCTTCCCTGTTCATATTTTGCGCTGAAAGTCATTGTGCACCATATCTCTGCTCTGTAGGCAGAATACAAAGATGACCACTGAGAACTTCACTTCAGAAACAGGGTTCGTTCTCTTAGGACTCACATCTCATCAAAATCAATGCATTGTGCTATTTGTGGTCTTCCTAACAATGTACTTGCTCACAGTTTTGGGTAACCTGCTGATCATCATATTGGTACACATTGATGCTCAACTGCACACACCTATGTATTTCTTCCTCAGCCATCTTGCAAGCCTGGACATAGTGTATGTCACCAGCTCTTTGCCTCAGACTTTAGTCCACCTCTTGGCTGGAAATGGAGTCCTTTCCTTGACAAGTTGCATGCTGCAGGGTTACAGTGGATTGCTCACAGGCAGTACTGAATGTTTATTGTTGGGTGTCATGGCTTATGATCGTTATTTTGCCATATGCAACCCTTTGAGATATGTCTCTGCCATGAACAGGAAGCACCAGCATCTTCTTGCAACATCCTGCTGGGTCATAGGTGGTGTCTTCTCAATGGTCAATGTTATGTGCATCTTTCGTCATTCCTTCTGTGGTCCCAATCACATTAACCATTTTATGTGTGAGCTGCGTTTTTTGCTAGATCTTTCATGTGATGATGTAAAACTAACCAAAGTCATACTTAATAGTCTATCAGCATTTATGATTCTGATCCCTTTATCAGTTATCTTGTGTTCCTATAGTTGCATCCTGTATGTAGTTTTTCAAATGCAGTCAATTGCGGGTTGTTATAAGGTTTTATCCACCTGTGGCTCCCATCTTGCTGTGGTCACCTTGTTCTATGGAACTGTCATCTCTATATACATAGCTCCCCATTCCAGCTCATCTCCTGATAAGAACAAAAAGATTGCAATTCTGTATCTTGTGGTCACTCCCCTGCTTAACCCCATCATTTACACTTTGCGGAATAAGAATGTCCACAGAGCTGTAATCAAGGTGCTGAAAAGAAGGAACTTTGAAGGAAAACCATGAAGATTCTTAATCCTGTTGAATTCATCTCTTTTGACTCAAAGCCTCTTCCTGCCTCTTCCGTCATTATCAATATTTCACCAAAATGATCCAGCTGTTTATTTCTGAGAAGTTTCAGAAACATCAGACATGATTCTCAATTGACTGGAATGCAATTTAAATCTTATTCTTCTAGCTTTGTTCAAAGAAAGGCTTGGAACAAAAAGCTACAAAAGCTCAATCTTTTTCAATTATTGAAAAGGTACTGCAGAAAAGGAACTGCATAACCATTCATGCTCTGAAAAGGTAAGAAAAGTGGAACATTAAGAGAAATTTTTAGGCAAATGTTCTTAATTTGCTTGAAACTCACAATAAAATGACATAACGGTGCATAGATTGTACTTTTTTCATCACTCAATGCAATCTAATACTAATATAATGGTTTAAAACTAAGTCTACATTTATTCAACTACAGTAATGTTTGTACTGTTAAATATGATAAAAATGTTGTTTGTGAAAGAAATCCCTGGGAAATTCTAAATAGGAGTTACAATAGAAGCAAGGAACCTATGTCTAAAATTTGGTAGATAGCCAAAAATTAGACAAAGAAGGTGAGCTAGAATTATAACCAATTTCTTCCCCCCCCCCCCAAATTTTATAACATTTTATTAGATTATAGAATAAAATACAAAAGGAAATAGTAGGGCACAGTGGGAAGGGGAAGAAGAAACAAAAGTGAGGACGGGAGGGAGAAAAGACAAAAAATCCATTGATCTCTGGCTCCCTCTTTTGCAGTACAATAAAGCATTACCATCAAACCTTGACTTTTTACTTTTCCATAATAGTATAAACTAGCCATTTCTATTACAAGAAATGAATCAAGTCAGTAAAACCCAACATCAAAGTTTCATTTTTTTCCCCACCTCAAGCAGAAAGTCCAGAAATGGTCTCCATATTGCAACAAAAGTGTTTCTATTCTTTACTTTGATCAAAATGGTGGAAATCTAAATGTCCTTCCATTTGTTTACATACAGTACTCTTGCCATCAACCTATATAAGATCAGAGTATGATTGTGTTTTTTTTCTTTATTTCTTGTTTTAAAAAATACTTGATTTTGACTATATGTTGGACAAAGACCACTATATTTTAAAATGATATTTATTTTATATAAAAGCAAACTTATTAAAAGGATCTAACAAGTCAAGATACCAGTAACATTTGTACATACTCTAGTAAACCTAAAAAAATAGTGGCCTATTATGTTTTGCAAAAAAAAGTTATTTATTCCCAAATTGAATTAAAGGTAACTTTTCTGGTAGATCACGTAAAATAATTTATCTTTCTTTGTTTCAGATGACAGGAATTTTGGCAAGGAACAACTCTTGTATATAAATCTTTGGAAATGTGCTATGAACACTTAGACAAGAGATCAGAATGTTATTTGCATCTGCCAATTTAATTGACAATATTGATATCTGTGACAAATGATTTTTTAATTTCAAAATCTACAATTAAAAGGTCTCAAATAATACTGAGAAAATGTTGTCTGGCTAGAATTTTCCTGGCTAGTATATTAACTAAAACTGGAATTCCATGACCCTTTAAAGAGCCAATTAAGCAACTCCTCTTGCACTTCAACAACAGGGATTAACTAAAAAGCACCAGGTAGAATGTTCCTCCAACCAGGGGTGGGATTCTACCTGGTCGGACCGGTTATATAGAACCAGTTGTTATGATTCTGCCCAGTTCAGAGAACTGGCAAATTGCATCACTGGCTAGCCCCTCT